TCGTTCGTTCGTTTGTTTGTTCATTCGTTCATTTGATTATTTATTTCATCATTTGTTCATTCACTTTCATCGTTTACAAATCTTTTCTATTTTTTATTAGTTGAAAATCAAAGAAGGAAGGACGAAAAATATCTAACTTTTTATGTTGTTGATGATGTCATTATTATTGTTTTTGGCGATTTTGTTGATGTCTTTGTTGATGTTGTTGATGTTGTTGTTGTTGATGTTTTTGTTGATGTTGATGTTGCTGTTGATGTTGCTGTTGTTGATGTTGTTGTTGTTGATGGCTTTGATGATGTCTTTGTTGATGTTATTGATGTTGTTGTTGTAGTTGTTAATGTTTTTGTTGTTGTTTTTGTTATTATTATTATTACTCCTTTTACGTTTGAATGTTGTCTCTTTGTGAGCGGAGTCAGTGTAGATGAGATTAGAAATGGAATCATTGTTGTTGATATTGTTGTTGTTGTTGTTGTGGCTGTTGTAGCTACTGCTGATGTGGTTACTGGTAGTGGTAGTGGTGTTGCTGCTTTCAGTTTTGTCGTTTTTAATACCATCCTTCATGTTTTCACGACTGCAGTTGATGTTGTCGCAACAGTTGTTGTTATTTCTGGTGAGGTCTTCGTTATTCATGATATCATTGTTTGTGTTGTTGTTGTTGTTGTTGTTAATGTTTTTGTTGTTCCTGTTGTTGGTCTTTGTAGTTGCATTCGTGTCAAATTCATTTTTACTTGCAAAAAGATTATTTATTTCAGTCGTTAATATTATGCGGAATGTTGATGTTATTTTTGTTGTTGTTGTTATTGATGTTGTTGTTGATGTTGTTGTTGTTGATGATGTTTTTAATGTTGTTGTTGTTGATAATGATGTTGTTTTTGATGTTGTTGATAATGATGATAATGATGTTGTTGCTGTTGTTGTTGTTGACGATTTTGATGATGATGTTTTAAAATATGTCGGTTTTTTTGATGCGATTGATGGCAATGAAGTTGATGGATATTTTGTTGATGTGCGTTTTGATGTAGTTGATGACGATGTTGTTGTTGATGTTGCTGGCGATGCAGTTACTAATAAAATCGTTGATGGCAAATATATTGATGTTGTTGTTGTTGATGTTGTTGTTGATTTTGTTGTTCTTCTTTTTCTTGATGTTGTTGTTGTTGATGTTGTTATTGATGCTGTAGTTGTTGATGTTGGTGTTGTTGTTGTTGTTGTTGTTGTTGAAGTCATGATCAATGTTCTGTCTGAAGTTAAATTTGCAGTTGCCAACTTAAATATAGAAACCTGGTTTTCAGATGATGATGCTGGTGAGAGCGATGATGATGATGATGATGTTGTCGGCAGG